CAGCAGCAAAGGCTGGTGCCGAAGCGGGGGTTGTAGTACCCCGCGGGCCCAAGGCAGAGCAGCAACAGGCATGCGCACGCGAGGTGCCAGGTGGGAGCCAGACTCCAGGGGGCCTCGCAGTGCGGGCAGGAAGCAGGCGGAGGCGGCCTGGGGCTGCGGGGGGCCGGCGCTGTTCCTGGGGTGGGGCACCCCCGGCGCCGCACTCCCAGTGGCGCTAGCCCAAACCACCTAGCTGCGCGCTGGGCGGTGTGAAGTCAGACAGGAGGCCCCTGTCTCAAGGAGGCCGCGGAGGCAGGGTCTGGAGGCCGCGGCCAGGCCTGGGTATGAGGACAGCCGCACCCCACGGACCCCTCGAACCCCTGGACGCGGAGCGGAGCCCAGACCCTCGCCCGGGCAGAGGAGCTGAGGAGGAGGCCCATGGGGCAGCGCCGCCCCTCCGCGGCCAGCCTGCACAGGGGTTTGGCGAGGGACGGGGACAGGCCCCCGCCATGCGGCTCAGCTGCCCCGGCACTTTCGCCTCAAGGTCCATCAGGGACAAGACAAGCTTTTCTCCAAGCCACGGGACACCTGCGTCCAGCCAGGGAGGACCTGGCCCGGCCGGACAGACTGCGGCGCCACCCAGAAGCAGCCCCTGTCCAGCTCGCCAAGTCGTGACCTGGAGCCCCAGCTTCCGGCAGACACTGGGCCGGACAGGCCCCCAGCCGCCCAGATGGGCACCTGAGTGAGCGGACGGGGCGTCCTTGAAAAGGAGCCAGACCTTCCAGGCAGGGGCTGGGCAGGGTCCGCGGCGTCGGGAGGGCGGGCGCCTCCTGGAGCAGGGCTGAGGACAGCTCGCCCCTCGCCCGCAGCAGGCGCTCACGCCCAGCTTGCAGGCCCTCGGGTGGGGCAGGCCAGCTGGGCAGGGAAAGCGGGTCCCCATTGGGCACCTCCGTTCACAGAGACCCCTCAGCGCCTGCGCAGACCTGGGGCCCCCAGGCCCCAGTGGACGGCTCCCAGCCCCGCTGGACAGGGGTCCCTGCCCTCCTCACCGGGCACAAGGGCGCCCTGCCCAGGCCGGAATGTGGCCGCCGACTCTGGCATGGGCGCAGCCACCGCCCAGCGCCCAGCCCTGCCACAGGCGCCAGAGCAGCCGGCCCCAGCCCCAGCAGCAGCGCCGGGCACCCATCACCACGGCGGG